GGGGGTTTTCTCTCGCTCGCTCTGTCCCTTCATGGCAACAAAGTTGCGGCGCGAGTGAGCGGGGCCGCAGCCCCCTGCCCCGCCCGGGCCCCGGGGGAGCTCGGCCCGGCCCCGGCCCCGGCTCCGGTCAAGGTCATCTCGTGGATCTACCCGCGCTCCGCCGCCGCCGCCGCCTGTGGATTATCGCCGCCCGGAGCCGAGGCTGAGCGCGGGGCTTTTCTTCTTCTTCTGTTTTTGTCACTCCCTCCCGAGGGCGGGGAGGCGGGGGTGGGTTTCCCCTCCCCCCTCCTTTTTTTCCCCTCGCTCCTCGATTTTTTTTTAAAAATTATTTTATTATTATATTATTATTTTTAATTTTTTTGGGGGGTGTTGGGGTGCGTGTGTGGACATGGATGGGAAAATCCGGCAGAGCCGCAGGTCCCGGTCCCAGCGGGACCGCGTGAGGCGGCGGGAAGCGGCCGCCCGGGACCCCCGGCACCACAGCCCGTCGTCGGGCTCCGAGAAGGAGCCGAGCCCCGGCAAGGAAAACACCAGTCACAACTGCCCGCATCCCAAAAGCCAGGCGTCCACGGCGAGAAATGCCCGGCCTCCCCGGCGCCGGAGACGGGAATCCAGCTCCCAAGAAGAGGATTTAATTGACGGCTTTGCTATCGCCAGTTTCAACACCCTGGAAGCCTTGGAGGTAAGAGGTGGGACGCTCCTGGGTGCTCGTGTCGCCCAGGAGGGGAGAAAAGGCATCCAGGATTCATGCTGCGCTCCCAGGGGTGCTTGCCTCGCCCGATGGGTGAGTGGTGGGAAGAGCGGGGCTGGCTGGTGCCCCCCGAAGCCCTTGTGGGTCACCGGCAAGTTCCTGCAGGCCGGCGGTGGTGGGGCCGGCCGTACTTTTCCTTTCCACTCCTCTCAAGTGTCAAGTGAAGAAAACGCTAGTTCACCATCTCCAGGGGCTGCCAACTCTCTGCCCAAGGTGTTTGCCTTGTATGGTTGGTTTTTTGGGGGGGAGGGGGATAATGTGGCATGGTTGTGAATGGCTGAGCCGTAGAGATAGGGCTTCCCTTTTTTCTTTTTTTTTGTCACCCCTCAAACTTTGTATTCAGACTGCCAAAATGTGACTTGATCTGCTTTGGGAGGTGGCTAATGAATGGCCCGTGTTTGACGTTTTGGTGGAAAAAGAGACGTTTAAATGCCTCCTAATCCCTCGGTTGTAATTCCCATTTTTGAGGTAATTGAACAAGTTCTGCGGCTCTTGTTGACTGTACGTATTTTTTCTGGTGGTAATAGGTTGGCAAAAAATATGGCTTGTCTAACTTATTACAGACAATATTTGCTGAGCAAATACTGCCTGTCTTGTCTGAGCTGAGTTAAGCAGAGCAGGAAATTTAATGTTTTCAGAGGGGCAATGACAAGCTAAAGCTTTGGATGGCTTTGGATTTCTTTTTGTTTTGTTTTGTTTTGCTTGCATGA